AGCTCTATTGCTGTGATAAAAGATTCTGACTGAAACCAACTGGGGGAGGAAAGGGTTTATTTGGCTTATATAGCCCAATCATAGTCCATCCCTGACTGAAGCCAATTGGGGGAGGAAAGGGTTTATTTGGCTTATATAGCCCAATCATAGTCCATCCCTGACTGAAGCCAATTGGGGGAGGAAAGGGTTTATTTGGCTTATATAGCCCAATCATAGTCCATCCCTGACTGAAGCCAATTGGGGGAGGAAAGGGTTTATTTGGCTTATATAGCCCAATCATAGTCCATCCCTGACTGAAGCCAATTGGGGGAGGAAAGGGTTTATTTGGCTTATATAGCCCAATCATAGTCCATCCCTGACTGAAGCCAATTGGGGGAGGAAAGGGTTTATTTGGCTTATATAGCCCAATCATAGTCCATCCCTGACTGAAGCCAATTGGGGGAGGAAAGGGTTTATTTGGCTTATATAGCCCAATCATAGTCCATCCCTGACTGAAGCCAGGGTGGGAATCTGGAGGCAGGAACTGAAGCAGAGACCACGGAAGACCAGGGCTTACTGGTTGCTCCTCTGGCCGGTGCTCACCCTGCTTTCTTATGCAACACAGGACCAGTTGCTGAGGGGGACATTGCCCACAGTGGACTGGGCCCTTCCACATTGTTCAACAATCAAGAAAATGCTTCACAAACATGGCCACAGGCCAGTCCAATGGAGGACATTCCTCAACTGAGGCTTCCTCTTCCCAGGAGTGTCAGGTTGACACTGAAGCTGTCTGGCACATGCCTATGACCTCAGTGCTGTGGTGGGAAGAGAAATAGGCAGGAGGGCTGCCGGGACTTGCTCACTGCAAGCCTCGCTCCAGCTCAGTGAGAGACCCAGTCTCAAAGGAATCAAGTGGAGAGTGATAGAACGGGTCACCCAGCATCTTTACCTGCCTCCGTGCACAGGCACAAGCATCTGCCCTTCAGCATCTGCACGTATATGTACAACAGAGAGAGAGGAGAGAGGGGGGGGAGAGAGAGAGAGAGAGAGAGAAAGAGAGAGAGAGAGAGAGAGAGAGCGCTACAGAGTTGTAAGATGGGGTTTTTGTAACTGTGCAAAGAGAAGACATTCAGTTGGAATTCAGTTGTTACCAGGCAGGCTGAATTGACACATGTCAACAGCAAAGGGTTCTGCTACAGAGAACAAACCCCGGAACATCCACCTTCCACTTTTTTTTTAATGTGTATGCATGTAAGTGCACCCGTGTCGTGTAATGCCCACGGAGTCCAGAAGAGGGCATTGGATCCCTTGGAACTGGAGTTAGCCACCACCATGCGGCTGCTGGAATGCAAACCCAGGTCCTCTACAAGAGCAACCAGGGTTCTTAACTGCTGAGTCATCTCTCCAGCACCCGACTTTGTATAAATGACTGTGCCCATAATAAATTGTATGCAGCTTAGATTCCACATTTTAGTGCTGAGATTCCTGTTTCATTTCGGTTAGAAGGCTGATGGAGTGGAGGAGGAGGGGAGCGGTGCTGAGGGACGGAATGGATCATGATCGTGGGCAGGCCGAATACTGATGGTAAAGAGAACATTCCAGCATTCCCAGGATGAACTGCTGCTGATGCTTTTGCTGGTCCATCTGGATCCCTCTCTGGCTCCTGCATGAATTCAGGGAGATACTCCAATGCCTTTGGACCTTTGCATTTCACTCCCAGTGTCTGGTGCCCCGCCTGGATTTGCTCTAGGGCAACAGGAGCTGCCTGCACTGTATTGGAGAAAGTTAGAGCAAGTGGGAGATTGCAACCCTTTGCTCATTCCTTAGCCAAAGGCTGGACTCAAGTGGGATCCTAAAGGCCCAGCTCCCTTGTCAAAGACGGGGTTTTCAGAACTTCCCGTAGGATCCGGCAGGGACTGGACCTTGGCCTGGGCCTACAGTTGAACCTTAGCTTATCCCTTTTCCCCTACTTTCCCTCAGACCCCTTTGGGCTCCTTCAAAGAGCTCCTTGTTAATGCATTGCACACGCATCTTCACATTCTTATTTTTATGCTTAGTATTAGAGGACTTACTCCTAAGGCATGCATCTGACTTGGAAGGCCAAGGGCAGGCAGGTCCTGAGCTCTGGTCTGGAGTCTCCAAATGAGGACGGCAGGCTGTATACTGGATTCTTTACAGGCTGACACACACTTCTGGGGGAAGGGGTCCTGTGCATGTCCCTGGGGCAAGAAAGAATGGGGGGGGGGGGGGGCAAAAAAAAGGGGGGGGGGGGGGTGGCTGGAAGTACTGGCCACACTGTGGGCGACATACTCAGGTGTTAAGCTGATGATCTCATGAGTGGTTCTGATGTAGTCCTCCATAAACAGCTGTATGTCTAGCCCAACTCATAAATTCTATTCAAAGGTAAACATGGGCTTGCTCCTCACATCTGACTTCAAGGTTCTTCATGGTTTGATTCAAGCCAGGAGAACTGGCAGCACCTCAAATTTCTTTTTTCATTTGTAGAAATTATTCTGGGGAACTGGATCTCTTGAAAAACTGATACTTATGCACTTCTCTGCCCAGAACTCAGATGTCTTTTCAGAATGTCCCGTAAAAATGCATGTTATGGAATGTCGTATATTCTGTACTGTATTCAAACTAGATGCATGTAAGTCTTGTTCCCTTTAACTTCACTGGCAGGAGGAAAAGCAAAAAAGCAAGAGAGGAGAGCTGGGGGAGAGCTACCAAATAGTCACTGAGCTTGAGTTTTATGTTAAGCTAACAGATGAATAACATTAACTAAACTTCAATTACAATTAGCTGTTATTTCACACAGTAGATCTCATTCATGCCCCTTAAAAATCTGCGCCTTAAAACCAGGCTGGGAAACAGGTTTTACTCATTGCATGAGAAAGAGAGAAATTGGGTGACACAAAACACTTGTCAGGATTAAAAGGTCCTCATTTCCCTCAGCTTCAGAAACTTCCAGAAATACCTAGACCAATCCCTCAGCTATTAAGTCATGCAAATCAAAGTCTGTCTCCTGAGACTGAAGTCTCATGGAGGTTTGTTCTAGAATCTTCTGACTTCTCTCGTCAGTCCTCCAGTCATTGATTTACAAGACCTCTCCTCATTTTGTGAATTCTGACCGCTCTGCAACCATAGGCCTAAGTATTGATATGTTACCAAACTGAAAAGAATATAACAGTAAATACCACCACCATGCAGAATATTGTCTCAGCATTCAGCTTCTTAAAAGCATCCGTCCTAGACTTACCTTTTATTATCTTTAATATCATGCAATAAATGAATATGACTTTCTTCTTTTATATAAATTATTATCAGCTCTACTATTCATGATTCTGCAAGAAATCTAACTTGCTGTAGTTTTAAACTATGCTTTTAACCCATGGAGTATATTGCTTTCTACTCAAAGGAACCGGTACATAAATATGAATGTTCCTGATGGACTAATTTGAGAAAAATGCAGAGAAATGGAAAATACGTCCCCTGAGGTTATTGTGAGAGCTGTCTTGAATGTCCATTTGGAACCCTGTGGCTCTGACTTCTGACAGATCAACCTGTCTGGCTTCTATTCCCTTTCCCTTAAAAGACAGCTAATCATGCTAATATTCTGGTTTAAGCATATGATTAATAACATTCTTGAAAGTGTTTTAAACTTTGGGTAAAAAAATATTCAGATAACTAAAGTCAATGCTGAAAATACTCGTTAAATACAAGAAGATAAAAGTTAACGTTTCTGTATAAAAACTCATATCCTTCAGTCAAAACAGGATCTTATCAGGACTTATGCTGAGCCACGTATTCATGGAAAGAGATGTCTGATAGCCAATACAAGTGTGATGGAGCTCCAAAACGGAACACAGACAGTAAATGACAGGCGGTGCTGACAAGGATAGCATCAAGGGAAATGGAGGCCCAGAGTAGGTCTCAGGCCACATAGATAAGGTCCTTGCAGGCCAAGACCTGACCAATGATAAGGAGGTGGGCCCTGAATGAGAACAGAGCTGGAGGTGCTTGTGGGTGGGTGTGGGTGAGCAAGTATGTCACAATCTCCTTAGTGACAAAGAGCCTTTGCTCCTCCTGGCCCTGCCTGACCACAGGGGAAGGGAAGCTCTTAGGAAAGCCATCTGATCTCTAAGGATGCCCCCAGGCTCCCCGGATATACTGCTACCAGAAGGCCTGGTGGGCACTTCCCTCCTTAGGCACTGGGGAAGTGTAGGAAGGACCCACAGCTGGGTTCCAGGGAGACAGGGACTGTTTCCACACTCCAACAGTCTCCCTTTAGAGTTGCTCCAGTATGCCTGACCACTTCTAATAAAAAATGTCAAATTCTGTATAAGAATTCTAGGACCCTAATCCTAACACAGACCCCCTACCCCATTTTATACCACCCAGAAGAACCCAGTTTTACTCACATTTTTCCAACTCTTTTGTTCATACATGAGGGAAAACAAAACCAATTAGGAAAAAAAAAAAAATCACTGTGTCCACAGAGGGCAGAACAGAAGCAGCAGTTCCCCCTCCACAGGATGACATTTCCCTCAGACATAATCTGACATAGATATGGTCTGCAGGCGCTACTTGGGTTCTCTGCTCTCCCTGGAGGTGGGGATCTGATTAGTATTTCCTTTAGGGTGGGGAGAGGGAAGAGGAAAAGAGGTAGAGGGAGCTCCTTAAAAAAAATGATCTGTTTATTTGTTTATAGTTTACTTAGGCAAAGGGACCTTAGAAAGGACTTTGATAAGAGGGTGTGAAGTTCCCCTGGAGATTAACTGGCATTCTTTTAAAAGGGCTTCAGTTTTCTTTTATACAGGTGCCTGGCAAGCTGGGAAGGAGGTGTCATTACAAGCAGTCCTGTGCTGGTCTGTAGATTTCCTTAAGATCTTAAGATACATGCTGACATCATGGGCTCCTTTCCCAGATTCCTCTCTCTCATTCTCTCTGTCATTCTCTCTCTCTCTCTCTCTCTCTCTCTCTCTCTCTCTCTCTCTCTCTCTCTCTCTCTCTCTCCCCCTTCCTCTCCTTTCTTCCCTCCCTCCTTCTCTGTCCGTCCCTCCTCCGCCCAATCTCTCTTGCAATCTCTTTCTCTCTTCAGTTCCTCCAGGTAATCCCTACTCAAACTTGTACCAACTTGTTTTTGACTGACAGCAAACAGTGAGGAGTGATTCTTCATTTTGAGAAACCCTAAGCACCTATCTTTCCAAGGCAACCTGCGTGGACTGATCTGGTCATAATTCCCCATTGCGTTCGGAGCTCTTTACAGGTAAGAGGAACACACTTATGTCAACGTTGGGGCACACAGCATGCTGGAGATGTTTTTGAAAAGCTTTACTTCTAAAGGTAATGAAAAGTTGTGATTCTCTTAAAACTTCTTTAAATCATTCAAGACGTCCAGGCTTATCTGGGGGAATTTACAAGTGCTGTTTACATGTGGAAAGCGGGTTTTTTTTTTTTTTTTTTTTTTTTTTTTTTTTACATTTACCTTCTTTAAAGTTATTGGTAACCTGCAGAGTTCATGATGGATAGAATCTAAAAACATAGGATGTTTTTCTTAGTTTCTGGTCATAGAATTGTGAAGCCAAACAAAATGAAAATTTCACTTCAGATTCTAAAATACAGGGGGGGAGTGCTTTATTCTTGTCTGTGAAAAAAATATCCAGATGCTGTCCTGCCTGCTGTGGGTAAGAGGGGTCTAGAGTGGAAGAATTCCTTTGAGTTCTCCTTCCAATTGCTTTTCTATCATTGTGTATGTCACAGGGAGTGTGAGGCTGATTTCCAGAGACTATATAGTTTTCTGGCTAATTCACTAGCACTTATTTCCCTTTGTCAGTGGAGAAATCAGTTCAGGTTGTTGGGTAAACGCTCCAACTCTTTTAAAATCTGTTACCTATCCTTAGGAAAAGAGAAAAAGTTATGTAAGTTTCTGTGGTGAATATAAGGAATGTAAACACTTCTGACTTGAGAAACTATAAGCTTTGTTCATGACCCATGGAGAATGCTTCTTTCTAATCGAGTATAATTTCACGGGAGTTTAAACTACCCTCAGCTAATAAATGCTCTACTTGGTGAAATTTCCAGAGCGGCTTCTGCAGTCTACTTTTCTCTATATTTCCTCATTTAGTCACTTGAAGGAAGTAAGAATTTGTTGTTCCTTAGACATTTCATGGCCTCACAAATGCTTTAAGTGACAGGTTAGAAAACTTCCAGCAAATGGAGAAGTTGGCTTTAGGAAACTTAACAAGCTTTGTGCTACACAATCTAAATGCTCAGGTTCACTTCTTTTTATCAGCTGAATATATGTTAATTTCCCCCACTTAACTTATAAGGAAGATTTTTGTCAAAGTTATAAATGAGTCTTAAAGTTCATTCTTGGCTGCCTCAAAATCACAGGCTCATAGTTACACACAACCACTGTTAGTCTGGATCCTTTACCCATCTGCCCTCTCCTGAACATTTAAACAAACAGGTCACAGTCAGTAATAGCCTTGGGTGACAAAATTCTCTCCAATTTACAACTGTGCTAAAAATCAAAGGACAGTGTCACATAAAACTGGAATGTGCTTTTAAATGCCACCGGAGTGTGAACACTGCATATTAGGGTGACTTCCAGTTGAAGAATTAATAAAGCACTCACCTCACTTGGGTCCCAGGGCACTGCTCTCTCCAAACCTTCCTGAGATTTTATTTCCTACTAGCTTTCCTCCTTGCCTAGCTGTAGTAAAATAAAATAAGTGACCACGTAGACGGTGCCCCAGAGGTCGTGCGTGGGGATTCCACACAGGGCTGGAAAATAGCAACATTTAGCCAGATTGACTATAGTGCTAGACCTAGAAATTTGAGTCAAATGCAGGAGCCGAGTCCTCCTCACCGAGTTAAACAAACACATGAGTAGTTGTGGGGGAGGGGGGTGTAGAGAACTAGAATATGTGATTCTGGTTGCTTCGGGAAAACATGTTTCTCAAGCGCCTTCCTCTCTTACTTCCCTCCCACTGACATCCGTGGTTACTTTACAGAAAGTGCTCCTTCCCCAATTTCCTCACCTCACACTTTTAACTAGTGCAGACAGCCCACATTTTGGGGGGCAAAAGAGTGAAACCCAGGCTTCTTCTGCCAGCAGGCCCCGTGCCAACCAAAGCAGGTCTCATTGGCTCTTCCCCCAGGGCTGAGCACACTTTTCTCTGCAAGAGGAACTCTTGACAGGGTTCTGCACTGGTTGGGGAGAGAGGGAGCATGTGTGTGTGTGCACATGCATGTATGTGGGTATGTGTATGCATGCCTGCATGCATGTGCAAGCATGTATGTGGGTATGTGCCTGTATATATGTGTACATGTGTCCATCCATGCAGCATGTGTGCACATACATTTATATGTGCTTCTGCATGTGTGCATACATGTGTATGCATGTGTACACATGTGTATGTGTGTGTTTAGATGTCTGTATGCATGCATTATGTGTGTGCCTGCATTTATATGTGTGCATGTATGTATGTATGTGTGCATGCACGCATATGTGTGTGTATGGATAATCAGGAATGATCATATGTGTGTGTGGGTATCTGTATATATGTGTGCATATATGCATGTGTGCATATGATATTATACTTGCCTAGACAACATTGTGCTGAAGACAAGAAAACCACCCTTGTGTCTTAGGCAGTAGACCAAGAGGCAGCCCTTTTCTGACTTAACCAGTGACTGTCAGATACTTGACTTAACCTGTCCCACCCAGCTTGAGGCTTGCAGAAGCCTACTGTCTCTCTTGCATATGTCTCTTTAGTGCCCTCAGTTGAGTCCAGCATGTATTTATACAGAATCCTAGAACCAGCATGGCACAGCTGCAAATGGCCTGCCCCTGGGGTGCTTACCAGTCCCAGGGAGCAGCTGTGTGAGGGATAGTGGCCTCCAGAAGCATCTCCTTCCCACTGTAACGCAGAAGTAACACGGCTTATGCTTCTCCTCTGCAACCAACTCAAGGGTCTCATTTAATTTCTTCTGTCAAGTAAAAATAACTCTACTTCAAAAACAGTCAGGAAGCTCTTGCAAGAGTCAGTATTAGCTTTGTGCTTGTAAAGAGTTTGTTGCTTAGTAGTGGTCAAAGGCAAGAAGCAAACCAAAGGGAAGTTGTCCTCTGTCCTCTCCCCTTCACCTTTGTTGCCTCTGCACCACCTCAAGTTCCCTAGAGGGATGAGGGAGGCACACATAGCCCAGGAATAAAGTGAACAACAGATGGACCTGGCTCTGTGCCTCTCAAGGACACAGTGCCCTGGCAAGGGACCCTTTACTAGCAACTTCCTGGTGCCAGTCTCCCAGACAGGTAACTGAGCCCTGCGATCAGAAGTAGTTAAATCCAAGCAGTCACAGGAAGCCAAGTGCTCCTTAAACTAAAGGAATGGAGGGAGCCACTCCTTGCCTTCAGAGGGGGAAAAATATTAATGGAAGTACAGATTCCCCAAAAGAAGTTTTATTTACTAAATATTACTTTGTTGAGACCAAAACCAAATAAAAACTCAGTCCTTCCTAACAAAAGGCAGGGTGAGAGAGCTGAGGGGAGCCCAGCACTAGAGCTCTTGCCTAGCATGCACAAGGCGCTCGGTTCCAACCCCAGCACTGTAAAAGGCGGGGATGATGGTTGAGTTTGACAGGGATAAGCTCTGATACATGTTCTCTGGATTCATTCAGACAGCAATAGAGGAACCTCCACTTGTAACACAGCTGACATCTTTGTAGAGAGTCGCATACTTTCCCAAGGAGTTTGAGTCACACACATTTGTGTTCTTTCCAGAAAGATAAGGTTGGAGAAGTGCAGCTACCTGTAATACTTCTGATGGGGGAGACTTCAATAAGCCGAGAGTTACCACAACTCAACTCAAGAGCCTGGTTTGTGCCTCTATACCTAAAGTTTTGTACCATAAGATACCAGATATTTTCCTCACACTATAAAGATGAATCAAGGTTTCCTGGTCATGCTCACATCAGAAGATATACAAGGGTATAGCATTTCGATTTGGGGCATAAAAACACATAATGTGCCAAGCAGCTAGTTGGTGTCTAGTAGGAAGTTCTTAAGTGGAAAGGCATATGCTCACTCCCCTGGGATTGAGGACATAAAGATGAAGCCATCATAAGGGTTAGTAACAGAATAAACCAGGTAAGCCAGGTCTCGCTCCGTTCTCCCCCAAGACCCCCAAGGTTCAAATCCAGAGCAATCTAAGTTTCTGTTTTATGTACCAGCGGAGCCATCTTTGAACTATGATGCTCAAAGCCTCAGCCGTAGTTCTGGCAGTTCCTGCAGAGGTCGGAGTGCAGGGTTATCTCAAGCCTGCCGTGCTCCCCAACCACACTAAATTCACTGACGGTTAAGGAAGCGGACATGACACGGAGAAAAAGCGTGCTGGTGAGGAATCCAGGTTCCCGATTGTTCCAGGAGGTCTGGTATGAGTTCATCCTGTTTCAGTCGGAGCCGCCCTGGTGTCGGACTGATGGTTATGAAATTCTTGTGCGTTTTTCCAGTACTGTAACTAGAGGCTGGTCGAGATTTTACAGAGCTTAAGAACTGTGTAATACAGGGGCTGTCTTAAAGGACAGGAGTGTAAAACTGTGGTTGTAAAATTAGGAGAAGGCTTTGGAGAAAGCCTGGAGCCCTGAGGGGAGTCCCATCAACTTCATGAGAAGCCCATTCTGCACTTTATGTCTCAATGCCTGTTTCTGGGGTGAAGGGATGAATGAATGTATATAAATCATGGCTGCTAGTTGCCTCTGAGTAACTCTGGACATGATAAGCAGAAATAGCATGGACATGTACGTCTACGAATCTAATGATCACATGATGCTTCTCACGTCACTGGCATGCAGCCATGGACAGATTCTCACATGATGGCTGACCCTTTGGTTCATGTCCAGGCCTCAGGGTAAGATGCTATCTGTTCCTCTTACAGCAGAGTACACACATCCTGAAGTCCATACTGCACACTTCCCACTTGCAAAGTCTTGAACTTAAGACCCAAAGAACCCTTTGCTAGTCCTGGGCCTAGAATCCAGAACAATGTTGGGTGCATCAACAAGGCATGTTTCCGTCAACGGACACTGAGCAGTTACCGCAATGAAATGCCCATGTGTCTGGCAAGGGACCCTCTCCTTTCTCCTCTATTTCTATCAACAGATGCTATTTCTGATTCCTTTTATCAGTTAATAGTGTTGATTCTTGGGATGAATGCAGGCAAACACGTGCCAACCAGATAACGTTCTGCATTAATAGTGGCACAT